TTTGAGCCCGCTAGAAGTTCTGGCGATGGCCTTAGCTGATAAGAAAACTGGAAAGAAGTGTCCCCACAAGGGCTATCCAGCACTTCACACAAGCCTCTTGTGAACTTCTCCAAAGGTTGCAAGCATGCATCCACTACCCTTTTGTAAGTCTCACCAGTTTCTTCAAAAAATGCAGCTCGGCGCCAAGAATCAACATTACTCTCACAAACCATGCAAAGGTCAATATATGCTAGATACTGCAAAAGGGACCTTGGCATGCTCTCTTCCAGGGTCACAAGAAGAGGCTCACTTGGATTTGTTTCAGCTGCTGCAGAACCTTTAGGATGTGAAAATACAAACCGTTTTGTTTGCAGAACCTAATTCAGTGACTGTGTCAGAACAATTCCATTCTCACATGTTCTGTTCATAGTTCATACGATCTCTAATCTATATAAAACTAATCAATGTAAGATATTTTATTAATTTAGCAAGAATAAAACATGCATGAATATGTAAGCTAAAGGGTTAACCTGATGTAAATGATGAGATAATTCCCAGCATAGAAACAGCACAAAGGTTCCCATGTAGAATATTATATGCTCAGTAATGAACTTCATGGCTGTCATTTGGCCTCTAAGCTCACTAGGAAGACCAAATGACAGAAGAGATGCCAACAAGAAACCTATTGTTGTAAGTTTTACAGCACGCCTGATAGCTGAAGGAATACCCATCTTAAAGCTGAAGAAAGGAGGACGCTGCAAGAACAAGATTTTCCTTTAAAGTTCCATAAGAAGAAAAGGGATAAAGCAAAACATCATATGAACAATGCAAGCAGCCAAAGGAGCTAAATGATTTCACATGACATCTGAAAGGGAAAAAAACAAAAACACAATTGCACAATTAACTATACTACACAGGTTAACACGTAAGCATCTTCATAGAAAGTTTCATCATAACATCTATCAAACTAACGAAAATGTAAAACAAGTAAATCTTAGGTCGCCATGTCGGGATACATAGACGTTACAGCTACAAGCTACCATTCAAATGTAGGTGGTTAGAATTAGAAAGCTTCAAAGGAGTGAAAGGACACATTGACGGACTTCTCTATTAGAAGACCAAATTTTGGAAGTGCAGACCAGAGAAACACAGAAGTTACTCAGCGCACAACCTGCTTACAATGTTTACATATCACTCCCAACTCCAAAGGAGACAGATGCAACTAACCCAAATTTAAAGTCATTTACAAGCTATTAGAGCAGCTATTACAAACTCTGGCTCATAATCATGGATTTTGAGTATGATTTGGAGTTGGCGATTTAGGGTTATAGTGATTTTGAAACTTGTTTGGCTTGTGATTTTGTTTGTGACAAAATTAATTAAAAATAGAAATGAAAAATCACAAGGGAGAAAACACAGTTCTATCATCTCCAAAGGAGCCAAAGATTCAGTAGTTTTTGGTTTTGGGTTATGATGGAATATAGCAAAATGGCTCTTTAAACTGTCTTTGCTTCTTTTAATTGTTAAGTAGCAGTTTGTCAATACAACTTATGACGCTTATCATGGGTCATCCGAAAATAGCTGCTCTATGTTATAAACATAGGGGTGGGTCAGGGTGCGTTCATGATTGCCTGGGGTGCTTGACCATGGGTCTCTTTGGAAACAACCTCTACTTTTGAGTAAGGGTAAGGTCCGCATACACACACCCTCCCAGGCAAAACACACCCCTCAATTTTGGTCAAATGGAAAAGAGAAGAGGTGAGGGAGAGAATATGGGAAGAGAAGTCAGTAGGGAGAGAGGGGGAGTGTAGGAAAGAAAATATTATTATATGGAGTACTTAAATTTTGAGTCGGACTACAATATACCTCACATGGATGATCTGATAAACTACTCCTCTCATCCCAAAATGAAGTTTAAGGAAAGTGTAGAAATGTAAGAAGTGCATGGCTGGAATTTTGGGAAAAAGGGAGCACATAAAGATCTTCTAATGTGGCGCATGAATATGAAATCCGGTCAGTAATGTGTGTGCAATTAAATAATATGACAAAATTTTGCCGACATGTGTCACATAGGTATTCAATGTGAATCAACCACACCAAAGGTCAATGACAGATGACTATAGTCATGACTTGAAATCAACCCCAAACAAACAACAGATCTCAAATCCTTACTTGATATCATAGCCTGATTTGAAATCATAGGGGTAACCAAACATGGTCTTAACTTCTCAAAATACAAGTACTATTGTCCAAACATCAATTCTACTCCGAAAATGCTGAATTAGGTAGTAATGTCATTAGCAGAGGATTAAATCAACAGATGTTTATGAGGGTTTACCACAACCGCTTTGGAAACAAACAAAGGCAACAGAAAAAATGCAGCACATAGCATCTCAATAGCCACTCCCTTAGGGGATAACAATTCCTTGAAATGAATTCAGTTTGAGCAATAACTTACCTGGACAATTGGGAACTGAAGGATCCATCTCTTTTTAAGAACGTAGTGAATCCCATAGAACAGCCCAGCTCCCAAACCCCTAAACCCTATATTCCAGATAATCATCCTCCTTGACCAAAATTGACTAAAAGCATCAGTACTCAAACAAACAGAGGTAATGGACACCACCGCAGAAAGACCACAAACCCCCAAAAACAGAACAAAACAGAGTGAAACCCTAGCACGGCGCTGGAAGTCCGGCGAGAGCAGCGGCTGAGAGCTAGACTTCGGGACAAAAACAATCCGCACCAAACCCAGCAGGAGCTCAAGTGGAGAAGCTGCGCGGAGAGGGTGAGGGGTAGAGAGAACGAAGACGGCGGAAGCAAAGAGGAGGAGTGAGAGGTGGAAGGCTATGAAAGCGAATAAGCCGATGAATGAGGGTTTCAGAGGGTTTATAGTGAAAGGGGAAAAGAGTATACTCTTGAGGAAGATGAATGCGGTGGATTGGAGAGCTTGCCAGATTAGAAACCCTAGGAACCGGTGTTTCACGATGGTGGCTTCGGCGGTGGAAGTGGTGGCGCCGCCTCCTTTGTTTTTGAATAGGGATCGCTCCCCCGCGGCTAGAGACATTTTATTGAGTTCTTGAATGTACCAGGCGGGTATATATGGGCGGCGATGTTTCATTTTTTCCTTATTGGAAGTTGAAAAGTGCTACCTCATTTGTCCCCCACTCCCTCCATAACCATTCAAATAGGTAAGAAAATTAAAAAAAAATAAGTAAATAAAAATTAATTAAAAATGGGTGGTGGAGAAGGGGGTGATGTACAAATGGGGTACACTTTTGGTGTACCCCTAGCATTGCTCTTGAAAGTTCTATAAAAAAAACTTCTAAGTGAACTTATTTTGATTTTATGTTGATGGAAATAATGTTGAAAAGACTGAATGATGAGTAACATAATTTCTTTAGAATGTTAGATTAATTGAGTTTGTTCAAAAATAACATGGGAAAATGAGGTAATGTTGTGTTTAAAATATTTATTCAATTAAACAAATAATTGGATAGTTTTTGAAAGCTATTATGGGTAGTATCTAATGATAGGGAAATGTTTGGTTCACAAACACAATGATCACAAATTTCACAAATTTACTATTTGTAAATTTCAATAAAAAAAATTAAATGGTCTAAAGTAATTTAAAAATGAAAATTTAAACCATAAATAGTAAATTTGTGAGCATCATGTTTATGAACCTAGCATTGCTCCTAATGATAATAGATGTGTTGGTTTGTAAAAATCGTGTCGTTTTGTCTATATTTGTATTCAAGAACACAATAATCGTGTACAAGTTCACAACAATAAAATACGTTGTTTTGCTTTGATCCAATCATGTCTAATAATTGGTATCAGAGCGGTCTGAATTAGGGTCAGGGAGTGCCATCTACAGCAGAAGGGATGGGCGAGATCATAAAACAGAGCATTTCAACTTCCTTAACAACATGTAACACCCCGCAACCCGGTCTAATAGAATTGATTAATTTAATTAATTAATAACGGTTCCGGATAGGAGTTGGGGAAATTAAAAGTTCTTAGAAAAATTATTTGATCATATCATTAAATTCGTCTTGACTGTCTGATTCCAGAAACGCAAACGGATCTCAATTTAGACCCGTTCGGGGGGAAAAGCGCGTACCGGTCTCGTGAGAATTTTACTTAACGGAGTGAATTAAGGGGAATAATAATTCCCCATTTAATCCCTTCATTCTCCACGCCACCCACACCTCCCATCATCACCCAGTCACACATTTAATCTCCCTTTAATCCCCATTACTCTCCTCTTTCAATTTAAACCCATTCCAATCCCTTTTCCCTTAGCATTTTGTGTAACGCCCCGAAATTAGGACTAAAAGAATTAATTAATTTAAAAATTAGTTAATGACTGAGGCAGACCCGAACACTGAAAAATAAAATTTCCAGAAAAATATTTTAATTATATCAAAATTCTAGTTTTGACCATCTGATTCCAAAAACGCGACCCATTTTCAAAACGGAACAGTTTGGGCGAAAAAGCGCGTACCGTTTTAGCCAGTTTATCAGTTACGGAGTAGGAGAATATATTTGATTCCCCAAACCCTCCAAATCACGTAGAGACACTCCCCCCATCTCTTCCAATCCTCAATCAAACCACATTAGGACCCCACCACCACATCCCTCCAATTACTCTTCCCTATATTATTACCCTACCACCACCACCATCCTCACACATTACCACCATCATCCATCCATCATTCATCCCATCACCATCCTCTCCCTCTCTCGGCAGAAACTCAGGAGGAAGAATTCTCAACTCCATTGTTGAGCCAAGGGAAGAAGAAGGAGCAAGAAGAAAT